GGCTGGCTCTGTCCCCGTTGCTTGGTTCGTCTCGCGAATCGTAATTAATCAATATTTAAAATTAATATTCGGCTCTGACGCTGACGTTTCCGTGATAACTCTTCTCGCGATTTTACTATTTTCTTAGAAGGTTAGAAAATATATGTTTCCTTGTAAGTAGACTGCGGATGTAAGAATTAAGATTCCAACGAAAGTATGGCTCGTCTCCTAAACAGCGTAACGTGTATTTTATCGTTGATATCTTATATTATTTTTGCATTCGCGGGCATCCTTGGACGCTTTGCCACATTTTCACTTTACATAATTACATAAACATTCGCGGTCTACTTGCAAGTATCGAAGCTACGCGTTTTGAAAGATCTATTAAAAAAAAGAAAAGAAGCGTGTCTATGTAAAGTCTCTCAGCTGCAAGATTCAGGGATACGTGTACGTTGGATGGTAGATGGTATCGACGAGGAGCGAGAAGTGAACGAACTCGCGGGCTGGTGGTCCTTGGGACGAACGGGTACAACGGTCGAAACGTAGCTGCAAATGCTCGACGTGTCCCTGACTTGGCAATTAGGTCAATGCCTTTACAAATCGATGACCTGTTGAAAAATTGTTCTTATTTATTCTTCGGGCCCCGTCTTCCTTGACCAACGCTAGACGAGAGCGTCGGAGCAGCGTTAATCTCTGTCCTTTCGGAGCAATAATGAGACGCCATATGCCATCCCCTTTAGTTTCTCGACAAGTTTCTAGATGTCGCACCCGTTTCTAGGCGGCGCGTGTGGTTGTCTTCCAGGACCGAATTCTAACGATATATCGTAGTGTCGCGCCTCCCAATCAAACGATTAGGATACAAACGACCAGACGCGTTAACGTCTTTCTCGAAAGGGACGTCTTTCTTTACAGTCGGTAAAGTGGTCGACTGTACCCTCGATCCAATATGTAACAGCGTTCGAATCTTTCGCGAGCGCATCCATCGATCGTCCACGATGATCCAAATTTCCATCGAGTCAGGTCGCGTTACAAGCCGTCTTAGGACATCTCTCGACGCCGCGTGTACACCGTTACATAATCGATATCTCGCCATGCCCAAATGCCTTTATAACACGGTTTATCGATTCGCAACTCCGCCGCCTCGGCCGGTCGTGTACGCGCGTTACGCCGTCATAATAAATTGGCCACCGACTGTGTAACAGCGTTAACGTCGATCCGAGAAAGATAACTCGGCCGGCTGGTGACAGTCGTTGTCTCGTTGTCCTTGGATTACGAACGGCTTAGCGTTCCGCGGCATTCTAGAAATTCGATACACCACGAAACACGCGAAAAAAACTCGCGTCTTTGCGACGCGTCTCGCAGGCTCCTTCGTAACGTCGTTTCGATGCTTAACCCTTTGCGGTGCGAGGTGACGTTTTCTGCCAAACGTTTGACGAAAGATAGAATCGATCGGAAATAGATCTAACCCAGACCTGACCATGAAACTTAAATCCATCTATCGTTATCGAATACTCGTTTCTTTCATTTTCACGGAAGATGCCGAAAGATTTCGATCCGAATCGCGTCCGCTCGACTGTTACGAATCGACTGATACTCCGCGCGGTGCAGGCTTTTTGCGTTTGTTTCTTTTTTTTCTTTAATTTCTGAAACGGCTGGTTTCCCTTCGGTTAAAAGGACCGTGTTTGCTACGATGATCAAAAGGAGAGAACACAGGGACAAAAAGGAGTAACTCAAACGGGGCAACGGCGCGGGACGCGGCGGGAAAGGGGAGGGAAGGGGAACGGAACACGCAGCGTTGTAGGAGTCAAAGAATTTTTCGTGAAATTTTCGTGAACGCGAAACCTGAAACGGTTTGTTTCCCAGCTTGCATTGTGTGTTCGTCGTTCGTTACGACCAAAGTCACTGGGTATATAAAGTACCGTCTTTGATCAAACCAATGCGTTGTCTATATTTCGCGACGCTATATTTACCGCGTTCCCAAGTATCGTTCAAATATTAATTACAATAATTGGAAAGTATTAGGTGTAGGATGACAAGTGTATTTACATGTAATAATTCTTAGATTGTAACCTGAAAAAAAACCATACCGTTTATATGGGACATTTCGACTGTTTATTTCTACGGTCTGTTTTATTTCTGACAATTTGTTAATGTAATTAGATAGGTTCGCGTAATCGACACATTTCGATAGACTTTCAATTGTGTGCGAACATTTGATCCAACGGTTTGTTCCGATGGTATCAATTTCAAACGTAAGTGTAGGTTAGGAATGGGCTGGATTGGTCCTCTGACAGCGAGCGCGGGAACCACTGTTTCTGGGTACTTTTATCTATTTAACAGTTGCCATGGACATTCCGTGCTCCTGCTTTTTATTAAATTAACTCTTTGGTACTTGGATGTAAAGCGCGTTTCTCGTTAACTGGTAATTCCTTTACAGCCAATTTTGGACAAACTGACAAATCTACAGCGTGGACTTGGTCGATCATAAAAACGCAGAAATCGAAGGAAATCTAACCCGATTCTCGAGAAATGTCGCGTGGCCCATCGTAGAACCATATAGCTCCCGTTGGGAATCTCTGTTCTATCGAATGTTCCATCTCGGTGTTACCTCCCTCCTCGCTTCAACTTTCCAAATTCACGTCACCGTTCTCCGCGTCGCGTCGTTTGCAACTCACTCGATTGCGTTTCAACGATGATTTCGCAGTCGCTGTTACACGACAGGGAATTCCTGGTTTTAATGATTCAAGGTCGAATCCTTGGCAGACGTGACGTTGTTTGCTGTAAGACGTTTGCCTTTCTTTTTTTTAGCGCGGATTCATCGAAAGTTGCTGGTGGCCTCGACGAGTATCGTTTCGCGTACAATTCCTTTCTTCGCGGTAGCTTATGTTTATCAACGTTCCAAAGATACACTATGTTCCGCTACAAATAGATCGCTCTTTATCCTCTCCAGTGGTTCGGATACGTAGTAGGAAGAAATTCTTAATATCGAAATTTCTCCTTGAATCGACAGGCTTCGAGGTTTTTTACTAGATTCCACGATGTCGAGAGGCTGTTCATAGTTGGTATTTCAACCAATAGGCGACCAACCAACTTTCTTTATTTTAAAAGCAATTTTTATCTGCAAATCGATCTTAACGTACGCATATGCCTCGATATCTTTCGAGAGGTTCATTTCTTTTACGTATCGTACACCGTAAGTAGCATTTTAGTAGTATTTTAAGTTGCGTGTGTTGGCGCACACCAAACCTCGGTAAACAACGATGACGTTAATTGCAACGCTTCGCCTCGTCCAATTCTCGTCTCCGAAGCAGAAACTTATTCGGCAGCGATTTACTGGGAACACCCGTGAGCAGGGCGTAAAAAAACCACGCTCCTGCGACAGCAGCCAGGTGAACCTGACATCGCCAAACACGATATTGTTCCCGCAAACATTTATGTGCTGTGGAAACAGGTGCGAGTCGTGCTTTCCACCGTGCAATATGCGAGTCGACGCGACGCCAACGTGTCGCCCTTGTACAACGCAACGGACAAGTGGCCTGTATGTAGATACGGTCACTAACTTTAATATTCGGGACACTTTTCAATTTTTACTTTGTCGTTGTACAATTTTGTTCCACTCCGAAAGATAAAGTAATCGCGTTTAGTGTTGAAGCATCGAGTCTAGTTAACGAAGGTATACGATTTATATATTTCATTCGCACCGCTGGTCCAAAGAATATAAAGTAGAAACAGTTTTTCTGGAGGTCTCTGAGAGTCTAACAACCAACCTCCCTCCTACTCTGCCCCTCCCCACCTCCATCTTTTCCCAACCGTAGGAGTTACGCCCCTACTTGTGGAACACCGCGTTACACCGTAATGTTTACGCATTCCTTACCAACGTTACTTTCGGTTCCCTCGATCTGAAATCTAAATCAAAGTTCTACAAAATACCAGTTTGCGATGAAATTTCATTACGTTCCAATTGAAAATGTGACAGGTTCCCTTCACTTTTCCTTTCTTCGAGCTCTCCGACTTTCCTACGGTGTATCGCGTTACACAGCTCAAACGTGTCGCGTACGCGTCGAAAGAATCGCGAAAAAATTCCAAATTCTAGATATCGAGTCTACCTCGAAACGCTGGCAACGTTGCATTTCGACGTAAGTTTGAATACGTATACGAAACCAGAATTAGATACTCTTATCGTAAAAATAAAATGAAACTGCTGCAAAGATAAATTTGGACAGAGTGGCGTCGAGTGGCCGCCGATGCCGACTAGGCGATGCGAAATTCACGTCTGCGCCATTATTTTTCTTCGGTGGGTATTAAGAAATCACAATGAAACCCGTGAACGCGCGCGGCACCAGACGTTCGTGCGGTGAGAAAAAAAGGACAATAAAATTGAAAGACTGGCACGGAAGGCAGCTGTTCGATAAAAAGAACGTTCGGACGCTACCGAGACAAAGTGTCGCGTCCTGCTGGCGTTCAACGATCATTTTCGAAATCATCGTCGAAGGAATATTCGAGTCGCGCGACACTCGAACTTGCGGCAACGTCACGCGACTTTAGTAGTTAGTTTTATTCTCGCTTGCGATGCAAGCACGCATTCTAATCCGACCCCGGTAAGACGGTTTCGTAACAAAGCGAATTAAGGCAAGACAAATACTGTCCGGGTTAGGTTAGCTACTGGTCTATATTTGTCGTACTCTTTAAATGGAATGCGTGATTTACGGTACTACATATAATTTTTCATCGAATTTATTGCTCGTCGAATTTGTATGCCTGTGATTTTCTGTACATTTAATGCGATATAATCGCTTTACGTTTGTTTCAGAGTTGGAAAAGTATCGTCGTTAGTTTGGAATTCAGAACGCTCCGGACCCCGTGGTAACGAGCATGCCTGAAAGAGTCAACGAGATCTATCCAGCTCGACGCAGGTTTCACCAGGTGCACGCCGATAGAGCGTCGACGCCACTGCCCTGTCGCGGGCTCGAGTTGAACATGCAAAGCATAGAGAAGAAAAATTGCGAAGGTCGTGCGCTCACCCTCGAGCAGGTGCCAGTCCTCGTCGAGCGAGGCCAGGGCTTGTGCTTGATTGGCCTGTTGTTCGAAGTCGAGCATCTTGGCCCCACCGTGTTCCAGCCACTACTTTCGGTCGCGTGCTTTCTTCTTTGCCACGGCAAATAATCTTGTCACTTCACCTCTCACGAAACTATCGCACAGTCCACTGTTACAATTCGAACAATCGTTCGTGTTTATTCGTGAACGCTGCGACAGCGCGGAATCCTCTTGAGCGACAATTGTAAACTGGTATATCAAAATACAGACTTTCCCCTCGAAGGAACGTTCGCTCAGATTATCTCGAACGTCCTTTCCTCGCGAAAGAAAGAAAGAGGAAGAGTGTGTGTGCGTGTGGGGCGGGGGAGGGCGGGTGGGGGAGGGGGAGCGAGCGTCGCGCCGCCGTCGCCGCCGCTCTTTTACCGTTTAAAAACTGCTCTCTGTTTACATCGGTGTTTCCGATTGGCTTGGTTCGGCGGCGGTTACCCGTCTTCGGGAAACGGCGCAAGCGTCTCGGCTACTATATCTTTCAAAAGGTCTAAGAAACTTTCGGATGGAGGTCGGGATTCGCTTTGATCAATTCCGAGAAACGCGTATTGTTGCGTTTATTTTCAGGGTGCTCCGGTGTTACGGAGAGAACCGTGTCGTCGCACGGACAATAAAAAGCTACAGGAACGAGCGAACCAGCTCGCGTGCATGCGTGGCGGTACTCGAACCGCGACTGATTTCCCCTATCACACCGTGCTCAGCTGCCACCCACGAGCCTCCCTCCATCGTCATCGGTTCTCCCCGCCATGCGCCACCTTCCGCGCCCGCTCGCCTCCCTCCCCCCCCCCCCCCGCGCCCCCCTTGCCACGCGAACCAAGCTTGCTCGTTCCAAACAACGCTAGAACGTCTGTCCCTCGCTCCCTCCTCGCGCCCCCGCCCCCGCCTACGCCTTCGCCTCCGCCTCCGCCCGTCCCGACCCGACTATCCGCGCCCCTTTCACTCTATCCGTGCTTTCTCCGTCTCTCTTCTCCTTCGTCGCGCTTCCAACGCTCTTCTTTGCTCTCCTCTGCTCTCCATCGGTGTACGTATGTACAGGGTGCGGCGAAAGTCATGGTTCAACGGACAGGGTGATTTTACCCAGGAGAAAAGGACGAAAACGTAGAATCGAGATTCTTCGTACTTCGTGCTTCGATTTCGAGGGCAGCGATTTATGAAATGGGTCAAATACGCGGAGCACCCTTCGCCAAGGTTAGCCCTTATCGCATCAATGTTAAACTTGTTTCTCGGACGTATAAAAAGAAATTATTTCGTGGTTGTTTTACATGGTTACGAATGAACTATTTGCGTCCCAACTGCGCAGATTTTTGTATCGTTATTTTTCCATGAACCTGAGCGTGCATTTCGATACGTTTATTTATACGAAATGAAAAGAGCAAACATCGAGCTATCGTTTTGCCCCGCACTGTAGTCATTTCGATACACGCAATAATTGCGTAGGATCTTGTAATTCGGCCTTGAGTGCGGTTACTTTTCTCGGCTTAACGGCGACTGTTCTACAGCGTGGCAAGAAACAGCCGCGTGAGCATTCAGCTTAATAAGCGAGAAGAAGCTTGGGAGATGTACGAAGGTCAGTCGCAAAGAGAATACAAGGGACAAGCCGGAAAGAAACGTTACCAGGATTACAATGTTCGGGTCCACGATTGTTGTTCTATTTTGCGTGGCTCGCTTTAACGTGACTACACCGTGACGAGGGGTTTCACTTTGCCGCAGTGTTGGCCGCTACTGCCAGTTAATGCATTTTCACTCGTGGGACACGGTGACGCTAAATGATACGGTTTCCTGTTCGCAGGAAACTCGAAACTCATGGAACGAACACCCAGGTATACCAAAAATCTAACGCTGCAACTTTATCGAGCACCTTGAAAACGTTGCACCGCTACAAAAATTATTTCGACACCCTTCCAACTGCCACCGAACCTTACGTAAATTTACGTAAATAAACATCGCACGCAAATGTTATTTCGTTCGGGTAGGATTACTAACCATACTTTTTTCAAGTAGAATTCACCAAGTGAAGACGCGATATTAAAATCGAGTGTTGCAACGTTTCGAAACCTTTGACGTGATCGGCTTCGCGATCGTGGATGTATTTCCTCGCGCAAAAAGAAGAACGTTATTCATCGTTTCGATCAAATATTGTTCAGCTCTAGTATACGGTATGGAAAGCGGCAATGTAACGTTAAGCAAAAACCGCCCTTTAGGAGAATGATTTGGACTAAACAGGAGGTAAGAATACAGGCGTTCGTTAGGCCGTCTCGATTATCCTCGCGTGGCAGTCCGAGTGGGGGAGGTTGTCGGCACTGGCGAGCATCTGTGACGGAGAAACAAAACGCTAGAGCGAAAAGGAATGACGTTACCGGGAACGACGAGGAGAAAACGATTTCCGAACGAAGAGCGAGTATACACGTATCGTGGCACGTGCGACGAAGAGGGAGAAACCTTACGCTGATTCCTCTCGAGGTCGAACAGGAATGAAACAGAAAAAGACAGACCGGTCGACTGGCTGTTCTAGCGTATACATACGCAAGAGAATGGCGACGCGCGTCGGCCAGAAACATGAGAAAAAATTATCAGCCGCTGACGTTTATTGTGGCACGTATCGAATCTGCGATAAGAACGATGAAGATGCGAACGAGCGACGACAAACGTTTTCTTTGTACGATCGAATCACGATGAATTCGAACGCTGAGAGAGGACAGTGTAATTTACGTAACGTAAGATGAAGATCAAACTGCTGTTTCGATTTACATACTCGCGACCATTTTTACGCCCGATCAAACACGAACGTAGGTATTTATTTACTCTTCGTTTCCACAAGGACAATCGCGCTACGGTGAAACATGTTTCGAGATTGGGCTTGAAACTACATTACCTAGCATTAGCTTTTCAAATACCTATCGACGTTTCGACCTTTAATTTGTACGACCAATGTCGACTAGAACGCGTACGTTACGTGCATGAATGTATAATGTTACAACGCGATAAAAGGAATTCCTCGTCGTATAATGAACCAAATAACGTATTCCATTTCTTTGCAAACGTTAAACAACATTTAAAAAACAGTGATTTAGTGATTCAGAAATAAAAAAAAAACAGTGATTTTAGATGTAGTCGGTGAAAACAATGCGAAAGAGAGACAGACCGATAATTCCGGCGTCGGAGGTGGAAGGAAGCGTAATGGAGTAACGCGAACAGGACGGGCGAATTGGCACGAGGATAGAAAGAGACATAGATAGGGAGAATAGCGTTGCGAGAGGAAAGAGAGTGGAAGGGAGAGAGTGCCACGCGACGCGTGAGACGGTAAAACAGAGACAGGAGATCGGCTCGAAAGTGGTGGGGGAAGCAGGGAAGAAAATCGAGTGGCTTGCCGAGCGGTGGACGGTATCCTGCAAGGGGCGGCGGTGAGGGGGGCGAGGACAAATGACGAGGCGCGCGAGCCATCAGGGCCGTATGCTGAAGAGCACGCGACACGCGCTCTGAGAACCGAGGCTTGCACACGACCTTAACCCTTAACTGTTGCGGTTAATAACAGAGTAGTGGTAGTGTTAACCGATATGTAATCCAAAATTATGATTACCGATTCTTATACAGATTACCAAGAACGTTTCGAATACGTCATTTATACTCGATTCGCGTTTCTCAATTGTTCATTTAATTCTCCGTTAAAGTGTCCTTCTAAAAAGTTGCATACATCGTGACTGTTGCGAATCGTACGAAAGCGTTCTCATACTTTTCACGGTTATTCGAACCATTCAACACCCACTCGGAAAACGATAAGAAAAATTTCACCGCGACGAACCAAGAAAATTTCACCGAAACATATCCGACTAACCACGCGAGGAGAAGAATTGCGTTAGTTTGAATTAGACAAATATTTTCTTTAGTAGGGGATTCCGACCTGTAAGACGGTTATTTCATTCGTTCGCTCTCTAGTGGAACGTTCTTCGAAGAACGTCCAGCCAACTCGATCGCGGAAAGGTCGAACGAAAAGGCAAGAGAAAGCGGTTGCGATAAATTCAGTATCGGCAGCTCCTCGACGTTGCGCGATATCACCCAGAACACCGAATCTATCGTATCTGTTTTGTTTTCAAGAAACTGTGCTAAAAAGTAGCGGATTAAAACTGGGAGACACGTAATTTTGTGTTTACCGGTCGGTTACCAATAACCCAGGCTAGCCGTAACCCTACCAGGAGAATACGGGAACGACGATGGAGTCTTCTCTCGTAAAGGATGGAGGAACGAAAGCGTCGTTGGCAAGAACGAGAGACTAGATCGAACTTGGAAACAGAGTAGGGGCGAATACGGCTAGAGGGAGATGGACGTCGAAATAGAACGGGAAGGAACGCGGAGGCTGACGGAGGAACTGAAATAGAGAGTGGAAGAGGATTCACGAGTGCCTCGCCAAGTTCTCTCTGCATTAACGGTCCCAGACTACAAAGTACGAGAGAGAACATGGAAGACGGAGAGACGCGTATACGCTCGGCGATCAGACCGATACTCTTTCGCGACCGTACCATCCGCTGCGTAATATTGTCCTAAACTGCGCTATCGCTTCGCCAACATGCCTCTTAAAAAAATGACGCGAACGACTGCGAGTTAGTTTATACCGAATGACCGAGTAGAGCTCTATATAGACTTGGTCGAGCTGTATTCGACGAGCATTCGAACTCGCTCTTTTCTTATGTTGCGAAAATATGAATACAGCCGTGGAGCTTATTTCTTTGAACTTCATCGCGTAATTCTATAACAACGAACGCGCGGTAGCGGGAGTCAGCGGGAGTGAGCGTGTCTATTGCGTCTTGCGCAATAGGAAAAAAGTGTCTACGTCCGTTGAAAGGCCGTCCTTCTGTTAAGTGAACGCGAGAATGCTATCTGGTTTTTGTAAACAACAACACCAATACAGTCCAGCGTTCTCAAACGAAGCAAATGAGACGTGGTAAATAAAAATATTTGCTCGACGGTTCTTTTCGCGACGACGCGTATTTTAGTATTCATCGACGCCGCGTAAAAGGCTTCGTGCGAAGGGAAAATTTTAATTCCAGCACTCGCCGCCAGAGAGAGCTGTCCGTTGGATCCTATTCCCGTGAGTTTTCGCTCTTACATCGATTACATTATACATATAGATCCTTTGTCTAACCACCGGAAGGCTCGCGTTTAAAGGCAGGCCTGCTTTATCTTGAGATATATCTACTCCGTTCGCAATGTAAATTGAGAAGCCGAGAGTAACAAGACCATCGAATTTAGCTCCAACGATTATGCTCGCATTGTTGCCGATATATTACAATTTCAATTCTTTAATTACTACAATCGGATTTTGTTTCCATTTATTTAACGACTAATTATTTGGACTGTCTATATTTGTCTATCAGACGATTACTTTCCGAATGACAAAAATAGAACGTGCTAGTAACCGTATCGCATCTAAACAAGGTGAAAGGGTGAGGTTCATCCAGAATCTGAAGGTTGTTCTAGAACATAACTTATTGCATCGTCTTTTCTTCTTCGATTCTTTTTAGCCGTCGTACACATCCGAATAAAAGTAATCGACCGTTATTCATATGTTGTACTTTAGCCTCGAGGATTGACGGTGAAAGCGGATCCCCGCATTTCCGCTCTAAACGCGAATATTTTTACAACATTTAACCTGTTGCTATTTTCGTGGCATTCGTCCGCGACCTATGGCAAGGACTTTGTCCGTGAAGCTGTGCGCCACGTATAGCGGACGAACTTAAAAATCTCGTAGGCGTTCTTACGTAGGTTCACGCGGCGAGTTTCCATGGTGATCGGTCTCTGTGACCATGATTTCGCTGTGACGTCATAGGTTCGGAAAAGACGTCCACGTGCAGCGGACGTGCGGTATCGGTTAACGAGTTTTTTTTCCAAGTAATAATTTTTCACCGTACGTCACGGGGAAAATACGATCGTTCGAGCTTCGACTATCCTCTTATCACGACGACCTGGAAACTGCATATCAGCTGTACGAGAATTAAATATTAAAAATTGGTAGAACGTTTGTTCTGGAAGTGCGAACATTGGTTCCCAGAAATTTACTGCATTATTTTTAGAAGAATTTTCACCACGTTGCATTTACTTACACGTATATTTACGATAAAATAAAATTAGGATAAATATTTCGGTCATACATTTTTTGATATCGGGATTAATTGTATTATTGGATACAATAAAAAGAATTTTTTTAAACATACACATGGCGGCATCTACGAGTGAACGGAGGAACTAGTTGGTCGTTCTCCGGATAGAGGCACTGACCGACTATAGAAATTTTAGTTTCATCCTTCCGCCGTTAGATGGCGACCTAGGCTAGACTAACATCCACGATCGATGCGTAAACCGGTTAACCCATCGTGTCGTCTTTTTTCTTATTAAAAAAAATCAAATTTTGACTGTCACTTCCTAGAAATAGTGTAAGAAATGATTTCGTTTAAAATCTACAATGGAGTCAGACATTTCTGTACAAAACTCGATAACATTGCTAACCTCGTCAAGGTGAGTAAATTAATATTTTCATCGTCACTCGAATCAAATCGATCTCCTGATTTTGCTACACAACGAATCTTTCATCTCTTGAAATGTTGAATATGTTCAATTTTGTAGCGTAACCGTACATTAATCTTGTGTTCATTACGCGAAGTGTGTATGGCTTAGAAATGTTTCTTCTTTCCTAACCTCTCGAGAAGTCTAAAAGCAATATAGTTTTCATTGATTTTATCATTTTCAATTACTAACAAGTTGATCAAGTTTAGTAGTTTCGTGCGTTAAAACGTTTATTACTCTTCTTGCAGAAGAACAAGGTAGTCGTATTCATGAAGGGTGTTCCAGATGAACCTAGATGTGGTTTTAGTAATGCTGTGGTACAAATATTAAGAATGCACAACGTAAAATACGATGCTCACGACGTACTTAAGGATGAAAACCTCAGGCAAAGTTGGTATTTTTATGGTCTGAAGTGTATGAAGCGTTTAAGAGATCTATATTTACCATGTTTGTTTTTATTCAGATATCAAGGATTATTCTAACTGGCCAACGATACCTCAAGTATTCATAAACGGTGAATTCGTGGGCGGATGCGATATACTTTTAGAAATGCACAGAAACGGAGAGCTCATAGAGGAATTGAAGAAAGTTGGCATCACGAGTGCTCTTCTAGATAAAGGAGAAACCAAAGAAAAGAAATCCGATTAACCATTCACATACGAGAGTTTAGTTTGTTCATAATCTTGTAAATAAAATGATTGATGTTGATGGTTGTTTTTTGTTGTAATAAAGCTTTTGACAGTAGATCGGATATTTAATTTATTCTGTAACAACAGTACTATGTATCGATTTATAATAAAAAGGAGTACGTAATTTTAAAGTAATCGAGGCATCGAACCCAAAATCGTGTTATTACAATGTTTATAAACTACAGACATTATCGATGTACGTTTCGTGAAAATGTTCTATTAGTTGATCAAGTTTCTGCCAGATGGTGTTGACTAGAGAACATAGCTCTATACGATAAGTATTTCGAGTATGCTGGTATCCACCGTTAAGCGAAGTTTACCATGGAAAGGTCAATGGTGCCAGCAAGAATTTCACTTGAGGATATTGGCGTACCTGGCACCACTGTACCGACGTCAATGAAACTTACCAGCTTTCAGGTGGAACAATTAGTGGCACTGATAAGCACTACGTGTGAATTTCAAGTTAGTATTATTTTATCTAACGTAGCAGTGTGAAATCGAACACGCAGGAATTTCGAGACGACGACCGAATTGACAAAGCGGCTAGTCAAGGTTGCCGCATAACAGGGGCATACCTGCGCCTGCGAAGTAGCAACCGGGCCTACAAACTGGCTAGCATCGGTTGCCATTTATCAGGGGCATACTAACGTGCCTACTTGGTGACAACTAAATTTTCATTCTCTTTGTGACACCTCCATCACACTTCCCAACAACTTCAAAAGTTCAGCAAAAAGTGAAAAATCAATTCCGTTCCAAACTTCTGGGTTGATATTTTAATTTCCCATCGTTTCTTGCCACGGTTCCCTTTAATTTCCCCTTGTTTCTTGCAATATTTCCCTTTAATTTCCTGGTACATTTCTCTTTAATTTCCTTCATCTCCTGTCACATTTCCCGTTAGTATCCTTCAATTCCTGATACATTCTATACTATATCACATATAATATATAATATTATACTATACTATACCTATACTATTATACCTATACTATATTACATATAATATATAATACTATTAAAATATTTGTACACTATTGTATACAAAGCAGAGTATGGAGAAATTGTAACGTACGGCAGTTCATTTTGAAAAATGAAAAAAGGAGGCGAGAAAAGGTAATGGCGGAAAAAAGCGAACAGGGCGTTACGTCGTTAACGGAGCATGTCGACGGTGTTGAAGATAACCATTGATATTCGCGGCACGATCGTACATCGTATTATTTAAGTTTTTCCAGGCCTGCGACCCTCCAAACGCGAGTCGAGTCCTCCCTTCGTCATTTGGTATGCCATTAATTAATTTGGGCCTCGAGAGCCAGCCAGACGCGCCTCGCAATTAGTGTCAGAGAGTCAAAATGGCACGTGTGCGCGCGCGCGCCAGCCGCTAGGCGTAAATATTCCTCTCTGAACTCTGGAACGGGGCCGCCCTGTGTTTCTCCCGTTAAAGGGCAACGTGATTTTCCTTCTAACTTACGCGGGATTATTGGCTCCTAAACACCAAAATTGTGGCGATGAACGGATACAAAGAGTGGGCCCTACCATCAAATTACTCGTTAATCTTTTCGTTTCTCATCCTTTATTTAACATTCTTCACTTTATATGAAAAATTGATCCTAATTGTGTCATTATACATTGTTCGTCTTAAAGGAAACACATTGTACATTTAAATATAGCCGAGCAGAATAGCGTGACCAGTCGATTTATAACGGAATAGCGTTTCTCTTGGAACGAACGCGTGTCCGTATCGGACGTTTCAAATAATTCAAATGGATAGTCACGATCTCGGTGTTCCATAAAATTTTTACGTCATGAGAATACAGTCTCCGTGGGGATTAAGTCGAGCGCAACGGACGTTTCTCGAAGAAGCAGTAAAACGCGACGGTCGTTTCGAAAATGGCGACTCGCCACCCGAAAATTTTTACGACCCGCAGGATTTATTAACTGTGGTATACTTGTTCGTCCCGATCTCACCTACTTGGCAAAAATAAAAATAAAACGCGTTTACTTTCCGTACTCCCCGCTAGAGTGACAGATGATCATCACAGAGATGTCTTGGTAGCGAAAACGTCATCCCTCTGGTAGCGACAACGCTAATCCTTTCGATAGTGATAACGTCAGTCATAATGGATTGAACGTACTTCCATTTCTGTAATCAAACGTACAATTTCGAATTAGTAGTAGAAAACGTAAGTCGAGTTGCGATTCGATAAGTATACGAAGGAAAAGCTGACGTTTAATTACTTGGAGAATTATTCCTCGGGCCCAGATGAGTTCTGTTTCGATTTTCTGGCTAACCTCTCCAGTTACTATGGACGATTCGTTAAATGGAATGATAAGCCACTATGGTAACGATAGGGTGATAAGTGCGCGAACCACTGGAGCCGATGTAAACGGGGTGTCCGGCAAGGTGGCGCCCTCCCTTCGACAACTTCGATCGAACCACCCTCGTACAACTCTTTCTCTCCTCTCTTTTTCACTCTGTTCTTCTTCTGTCGTTTTTCGGCTTTCTTCCGCGTGTCTCTCCTTTACCTCGAGAACGTCAGAGTCTGATCGATCAGCCTGTATTACAATACACCCTTGGACCTGGTTCACCCCCCTTACGAGATTCGGTCATTAACATTTTCAAACGGACGACTTGGTCCATTTTTTATTCGAACCAAACATTTTCTTTACCTTTTCGCAAGCTACGCTGTCTCAACGAAGAAAACGTCGAGTACGACTTTGACGAAATATCTTTAACCAAAGAAATAATGGTTTACTCTGGTGTTTTAAGGTGGTCACGTTAGTTGCGACACTCCGTATAGGGATAAAGAAGTGTTGGCAGCGTTTCTCGATAAAACGATGCAAGTTCAGATTACTAATTCACAATGATATTTGAAAGTAGACTGAGAAATTTCGCGTTCCTCGCTGGCGGCCGCCGTCATTTCATACAATTCTTAATCTCGTTCAAACGAGGCGTTTTGTCGCATGTTTAACAAAGTTGCAAATTAATAACATTCCTACGGAGTTTGTTTAAAAAGTTGTTTGAAAATGACGAGTGTTTGAAAAATTGCCAAAGAAAAGAACTCGGTACGCAACGTGTACGCAAACACGCCACGGAGGTAGGGAGTTGGAGGAAAGTTCTGAAGATGCAGGGACACTGGCAGAAATATAGCGAGGTCGTAGAGACAATAGAGGGTGAAGACGGTAGCGCACTTGAATGTCGGGAGTCAAGATTCCCAGCCACGAACTCTGCACACATTTTCACGCTATGTAGCGATGTAGCGCGCAAGGGCCTGGACGTATCGAGGGAGTAGACGTTGCGGTGATTCGCGTCGAAAAATAAGTTCCTCGAGTTCGAGGCTTAAATTTACCTCTGATTCTCTCCGATACTCGCCCTATCGTTCTCTCGTTGGAGTCACCCTCCAGAGACACGTGCCTCCTGTCGAACAATCCCGAACAGCGAAAAAGGATCATTTCGCGGGTTGCCACGACCAGCGCAACACCTGACAGAAGTTCAGGGGTTGCGCACCCTTTCAAGCAAAAACTTTGATCGATCTTCTTTCACGGGGGAATCGCAGCTCGCGGAACAAAGATTCAGCCCAAGTTCACGATCCCTCAGGGAAGAGACGTAGGGTTCGAGTAATCGAGCGAGGATTAAGTTAGCCGATTCCATGAGGCTCCGTGACCTGGGTTAAGATCCGTGGAAAGGCCTGGGTTAGGTACTTCTTGTTCAGGAAAATTGATTAAATCGTAGCAGCGGACGAACAGGATAATATTTGAAGGACGATCAACATTTTTACATCGTTTCCAATAGAGTAGAACCTGTACAGCCTTAATCGTGAAACGTTAGAAAAGCACCCTCCAGGTGACTCGGCGTCTGGGGATCTCTTAGGATTCCCCCTCGAATCCTTCTAAACACACCCGGCCAAGTTCGGAGGGAACTTGGACAGATTTTGTTTCCGAATCTCTTCGTATCTCGTCTCCAATCCTTTTCAAATGCGTCAGACGATGTTTGGAGGAAACTTACTTCCGTGACGCTCGGTGGACGACATTGGTCCTTCGGAAGGTCGTCCTTCGACGAGGCGACGTAATTGGTTAGACGCAACGACCTTGTTAGAGGCAGTGGACTGGCAACGGGTAGCCATCGAGTCAGACGATCGACCGTCAAGAGGCCAGACCAAAGATTCTCTTCGGGTCTCGGTCCAAGACTTTGTCCTAGCGCGATCCTAGCGTGAAACGCTTCTTCGGGACAAACTCTTCGTTCGCAGGTGGATCGATTTTTGTCGATATCGTATTTCGATCCGCGAGAAAAGTTTGCCCGCTTCTGGAAGAGAATCGAGGCGCTATCGTAAGAAATTCAGAAACGAAGTCACGCAAAAGGGGTGCGAGGGAAGTCGTTGGGAGACAGAGAGGGTGAGAGAGAGGCGGTAGCGGAATGAAACTGGGGGCGAGGGTGGGAGTCGGAAGACTGGTTCTGGGGGAAGTCAGCGCCGCCATGGAGGGTGAGTCTCAGTTCTCAGTCGCCACTCGGTCAGCCTGTCGCACGGCTGGATCTCGGTAGTCCTCTGCGCGAATACACGCTCCTACACACGCCTGCACACACATATACACGCACACGCACACACGACCACACATACATGTATATATACATATATACACACAACATACACACGACACACGACACACGACACACGTACACACGTACACACGTACACATGCGTAGACGCGAGGAGTCGAGGACGTTTGAGCAGTAGCAGTGCGTGGAAGTTGCGATCGGGGTCGTGGGCAGGCACCGCAGGCTGCGTGAGGTGCGCGTAAACGACTGCCAACCCATCGAACGTACGCTCCTCGCCAAGTGAATCCACGTCCTTGTGTGTACGCGAACCTCGGAAACTAGTTTCCTGGACGTGTTCCGCAACCGGTCAGCGCGTGTGCCACCCGGACCGCGATCGATCCTTGGGACGATACGATCCAGAAACGCGATGGACGGAACCACCCTCCTGCCACGGGCCAGATAACGCCAGGAGGAACCCTCGCCGATCCACGAGACGCGAGCGAGCCAGGATTAATCGGTACGAGATCGTTCGTCGACGCACACCACGGCCGGTGAGGGAGTGGGGGTCGTCCCATTTTCCGCCATCCGCTGATCCACGGACTCGGCGATGCTCTCGATGATCGTTGCGGTCGCGTGGTGCGCCACCAGACTCCCCCCACCCCTACCCCGGTTGTCCTTCCCGTTCTAAATGCACGGTGCTTTGTCCGCCTCTACGTTTCTCCATCTACGTCTGGACTCGTGCGACCCGTCAGGACGCGATGGATCCACCTAACGGAGACCATTCGCGTTTATTTATCGTGACCGAACCGTGATAGGAACGAACCAACCTAATCCAGACTAACCCGACCCTCTGTTCCTTTCCAGTAGCGAACGAAAGCTTAACGTACCTCGATTGCCAAACATTCGTCAGATCTTCGCTTCAACTCTTTGTTCGCCAACGATTCGGCTAGTATAGACGTCGACGTCGTCTCGTCTAGCGACGGTAGAATGAGAATTAGCGAGAGTAGACTCCGTGAACACGACACCTCGCGAATGCAAAGGATTCTCCCAAGTCTGACGTTGATCGGCTCGCGGTCGCGGCTCCTCGAGATTGGACCGCTCCAGTTTGGGTGTCAGAGCCTCTGGATAGGCTCGGTGTTACCCTCTAGCGCGAAAACGACCGAGACGCTCGCGTTGTCAATAGTCGGCGGAGGTCAGAAGTCGATCTCTGGAAAATATTACAAATCTTATCGAATCGATGTGTTTCGCCTTACATCTACGAAACGAATCTTTGGAAAACAACGACACGTGGTTTACGATAACGTTTATAGTATACGCGAGGCTTTTGGAAAAAATCGTACAAATGTCAGCCTCGCAGAGATTTCCACGAATATTCGCTCGACGATCGACGATCGGAATCATCTTTACAGCTGGCGAGTTGTACACGGTGAACCCTTCGGGACGCGGTCGAGTGGCGTGACATTTGGGGCCATTGTTTTGGCTACCGAACACCCTCCCCCGCCGCCCGTGGTCGATGGTGATTAACGCGAAGAAAGTGAACCGGGCACCCTCGGCTGTTTGTTTTGTTCGCTCGAGTGGCGCGGCTACTTCAGGCCTCGTTTAATTTACCAGCTCGATTCGCGTCCCTCCCAACCGGCTATGCCCAATTGTGTAGGTGTTTGACGTCTGCCACGCAAGGTCGAGGAGGTTTTCTTTCCCACGGCATGCACCGAGTGGCCAATTTTCTCCGAGGGAAACGCGTCGGATCGAACCGTGTCGCGAGTTGGAACCTTTGTATTATTATTTTTATTTATTCACTCATTTGTCAATTAAAGAAAAGAAATGATTTTCAAGCAGTTCAGAAAAGAGAAAACAACGGAGGAACGAGTGCCTCGGTCGATGAATATTAATAAGACTTAAATTCCCCGCTCGTTAACAAGGGGAGTAATTCGAAAAGCTAATTACTTGGCTAATTAGCGAATCGGCCTGGGATCCTCGAGATCGCTCTAGACGTTTCGTGGTGTCGATTTTCTTCGTATCTGCGATCCAACGCTGAAATTAGATTCTCGTCGGTGTACAACGGAAAGTGATCGAGCCCTGGCGTATCTCGTTCCGCTCGAATCGAACCGAGGGAAAGAAAATGGATACAGTTCGTTACCGAGAAACGACAAACTCCGAACCTCGGGAGGGTTCGCGAGCGTCGTTCGCCGCGATTCGTCGACTCGCGATAGAACAAAGGGAAGCGATTTCGACAACGTTTACGATGATTATCTCCCCCTGTTCTACCCTCGCGGTAGCCGATGTAGTTGGTTTCTTTCTGTCGTGACGCGAGTTTTGGATTGCTGCCAGGTTCACAGGTCGCCGCGTTTGCAAACTCTTCGTTACACGGCTCACCGACGCCGACGACGCGTTGTCTGCCTATGCATTCTCGATACGGGATCCATGCTCGGTTTACCTCGAGTTTTATATTCGAGATCGCTCGGCCACCGCTGTGTATCGTTTCTCCAAATATCGTCGCCTCTGTCGCGACGAATTTCCCGACGGAACGAGGATCACAGTCGAGACCTTGTCGAGTAGGAAACTATGTTTTCCTACATACCAAATTGTTATACATTCGAAACAAATAAAACGTACTCGAGTAAAAAGTCGTATGAATTTTCGTTCGCCTCGAAACGAAGCGTCTTCTTCGTCCTCGAGGAGACTAAGCGACGACGAGGAAAGTTACGCGTAAAAATGTAAATAGAGACCGCACGGTGGTAAACCTTTTCCCTGTCGGCTATTTAAATTCTTCACGGCCATTTTTCAGTCAATTTCTCGCGCGCATTTCTTCACCGGTGCTATCGATTCGAAATAATAAGGACCACTCGACACTCGATCGTCGGCCCAGTCGAATTCACTGGTCCGACCCGTTCGCTCCTGGCCCCCCGAATTAGACCGGGTTATGAATTCGCTGACCTCTCGTGGGAAATCGAAAAGCGTATATGTGCTCCGTTACCTCGTGGCCCAAATACAATTTCACGTGGCCTTTCCACGTCACCGATCGCCTGGATGGATCTGTTGCTCGTTTTTCAACTGTCCCCCTTTCACCGGTCGCGCGAGCTCTGCTTTTGTTCCCCCGCTCGCGTCTCCTCGGACCACTTCCGCGTTCTTTCCGCTCTCCGCAGTTTCCATTTTTTATCCCCACTCGCGATCTCGCGTCTAGTCGGCATCCGTTTCATCCCTCGCGACATCGTTCTTCCGATTCCAGCAAGGTCTTTGTCCTTCTTTGTTCGTTTTCGTCGCTTGCTCGGTTCTTTGGCTACCCCCGGTTGGTTTCCAAGGTACTACGTTACCAAGAGACGGCGTACTTTTCTATTACAGAGGAAAATGTTTGGTCGAACAGTTGTTCCGTTCTCGATTCAGGAGTCGATTTATCCAAATAAATGAATGGCAGCAGCCCCGTCTAGGATCGTAGCACGCGTTATCCCCAATCTCGAAGCTTCTCTCTGCGATACTTTTACTTGGAATTCGGTTTTCTTGGAAATGTTTGGCGGTGGTCGAGCCTTGGGCCACGTTGGACGCGAAGCTGCGCGTAGATTAGGGTGGGTACATCGCGAATCGAATCGAATACGTTATTGAACGGTCATGGAACAGAAAATGGAGGTCAAGAGGTCGGTTAGCATTGCCTCAATTTTCCGAGCGGAGCCTCGATCCGTATTCTCTTGCGCGCGCTGGCCATCGTCGAGACGATCCGGCGTCGCGGGATTTTATAATTTACGTCGCGAGGAGATTGGCGAAATGGGTTTCGCGAGCCGTGGCACGAATCGCCTGGAACCAAGTCGGGGAACGTCGCGAAACAGGGCCGCCCGCGTCGCGCGCCACTTGCGTCATCGCCTGCTCCTGGACTCCGTCGGCGTCGGTGCCGGTGTCGGCCCCGGGGGACCTTTTGCCACTTTTCCGTTTTATCGTTTCCGCGTTCTACATCAACCACCACTGGTTATAGTTGTAGAGAACAAGCGTGTTATATTTTCTTTTTAAACGGATTTTTTTTTGCTCCGATCAAACACCAAAGCAATCTTTATCTCTACTCGAATACAGGATGTCATAAGATACAATAATATTTGGTCTGTTGCTGCGGGAGCTCGAGAGAATTAGAACGGACAGGGTTATCGGATCGTTCCGTAGATTTTGCTCCACGGAAACGTATCGTTTTTAATCGTCTTCGAGAACAACTCGATTCCATCGGTAGTCGTCTCACAAACGGAGCTGTGTGTACGGTTCCGTCGTCGATAACGTCGACACTTTTAGTCGAGTTATCTTCGCGAAGAGGCACTGTTCTTCTCTCCAATAAGAACCCTTATCGGTCGGTTGATTTTCTTGGTCGCGAACGGCCACCTTTCCCGAGGACAAGGACGCGGCCAAACCGTTCCACGATTCTTTTCCAACGATCCAAACTCGTCCGATCGATCGACGATTAATTACGCGATAGTCCGCCGCGTATTATTTGGAAGATTAACATCGGAAATAACGATTCTGTAATCGAAGTAATAAAACGCAATGGCGAAGTAATCGAGAGAAGAGATTCGGATCAAACGATTATCCGGATTAGGGAACCACGGGGAAGGAAGGAAGGAAGGAAGGAAGGGGGAGGGGTGGCGTTAAAAGACGAAAGCATTTAGAATGGATATACGTAAATAAATACGTACAAAGGTGACACTTTAAATAGATCGCGCGACGACACCGTGACTGGAGCCCATAGAACGAGGAAACAACTTTTGTCGCAACGTTGACTCGGATCCTCGCGACGGAGCGTTTTTCGCGTGAGATTCGAGGCGCCCTAGGTCCGTGTCGATGGACGAGAAGCATAGTGTCCTGGAGTCGATCGATCGGAGAAGAAGGCGAAAAGAGGGTAGCGAAGCGCGGCTGCCGTGCCAAAAACTCCTCCCACGAAAAACGATGGGCTACCTTGAGATACGACTCGCTTTCTGGTGTGCAGACCGCTCGAAATCCGGGTGACCTCTTTCTAGCCACGGTCTTTGCCCCCTTTTTCGCGGCTTTTCTCTTCCTCGGCCCACCCCGCCGCGCCACTCACCCTTCCGCGCGACAAGCTCATCTCTCCCGGAAGTCTTGCCTCCGTTGGTTTGCCCTCGCGTCAACCGTCAACCTATCCACGCTGACCACGGAAAACACCGATCGGAAAATGGAAAATTGTTGTCCCCCGTGTTCGCGCTATATCGTTCCTTTCGCGACAATCAGTGGACGGCCACTGGAACGGATTTCGCTTACGTTTCTCTTTCGCTTTCTTTGTCACTTACAAAACTACGTATATTTCGAAGCGGAACGATTACTGATTCGACGGCAAGTTAAACGTGGTCGGATGGCACGACTTGCCACGCCGATATAGCGACCGTCCGTTCTCTGGACTTTGCATTTTAGCGCGAGAACTTGGCATCGATCGCGCGAACTACTTCTCCACTTTCGGCCGACCTTCGTACGTTATTAGAATTCTTGTAAATCTGGTACGATTTCATTGTTTCCGATATCGTTGATTGGTTTTGCTCGCGTGCTTGGCGCTCGGAGGACGAGGGACGCGATGGAGATAATGGGACAAAATGGAAAAAATGGAGAATTCTTGGAAATATTTACGCGCTGGTTGATCGATTTCAAATCCATGCATGCAATCGTAAGAAAACATTTCTGCGAAATTTCAGCTCTCAATTTCAGTGGCCCAAACCGTCGAAAAGTTTAAATGGAAAATACATGGATCGTTTTCGACGTGAAATATCATGACTGACGTCGAGTCTCACGGCGAAGGCTAACGGTGCGAACGTTCTCGGTGGGGACTTGCCGTCGCGAGTCGTTCCAATTCCGTCCCGTTGGTGTGTTTCCATTTTACTTGCAGATTCCGTAAGAGGGTTCGCGCGCTCTTCGCTTTCGACCTATCTACTCGTCTTATCTGCACGCTTTAATTCGAATCGGTTCGGCTGACGCGTTTACTCGAAACTCGGAGAGTCGAGTCGGGATCTCGTCAGGGCCAGCCGGGAGTCGTGCCACCGGCACTCTACGATATTTACTATCGCCCGGTTTGAACCTATTCGCGTTTCACCAGAAAATAGACCGACCAGTGATTCGTTAATACGATTACCGTGCGCCTATCGGTATCGAAGCATTTCAACGAGAACGACGTAGCCATTGGTCCGTAACAAAATCACGCGTGGGTTTTCGATAGAACGAACAATATCCTCGTTGAACGCTCGAGGTGAATACGCGTACAAAGTTAAAATACACGCGGTTAAGTGGCTCTTTAACGAACACCGTGTTTTTAAATCAAGCTTGGATCTCGCGTGTTAGCCACTCGAGACCAGCATCGATACTTGTCGAGATCCGGACGATTGATTCGCGTACAAGCATCTCTGTATTCGATCTCGATGGATCAAAGTGTTTCGATCCGTGTAAAATGATCGAAGAAGGGTTTCGAGTTTCGTTTGGTCTTTCATACAAGGATTGTTCGTTTTTGCTGGATACCAGATTCCTAAGCCAAAAGGTATCGACACGGAACACGAAAAGCTTCAAATTGTTGATAAATAAATTTTCAAAGAAAAACCTTGTTCGCGACTAGCGAGTAAGGGATTCGGCCAACGAACGAATATGGAAACGCGTCTCGGTGGGATGGGAACGGAGGGACGCAAAAGTTATTACCGGGAACAATTTTGGAAACGGCACGGAACGACGAGCGGTGGCGGTGGCGGGTATCGGGAGTAATCCCGAGTACCACAATGCCTTGCAAAACAAAGGGTATCGGGGAAACGAGCTCGGATCTGACATTGCCGCGAAACAAGGAGGGGAGGAAAGGTAATCCTCCCTAAAGGACGAACCGACAAGGAAACGTCCGACGCCGATTTCTCGATGGAAAACGGTACAGCTTTAGTTTTTTTCATTCTGAAAGAGCAGTCACGCGTCGATCGACAGCCCGTATCAAATCTGTATACCGGAAGGTATCGCGGTCGATTTTCAGCGATTCGGCCGATTGAATTTTAGCCGAGAAATGGCAACGCACGGTCCCGGTCCCGATGCCGGTATTTCGGGGGTTGGATCGATCGGGAGACGCTCTAACCTCGTCGATGCCTGGCAAACAAACGTTACGTCATTGGCAATAATGGAATTCGCAAAGCCATTAGTTTCGTTTAGAAAGTTCGCGAGTGTTATCGATTGAATATTTGAAAACGAAATGCACAAGACGGTTGGTATTTATTACGGTCGTTTTATTCGACTCCGTCATCGAATGTAAACGGAATTTCTCACGTGACCGGAGCTCGATCGGTTCGCTCCATCACTGGCAGAAATTGGCAGAATTTCGTTCGAACGATGGAATATGAATGGAAAACTTTACGTAGCGATATATTCGCTTAACTCTTTCACCGCGAAGAGCGTGTCCATACATGTAAGTAGGATAGCGCGATAAAAGCGACACGGCTTTTGAAACGGGCAGCGGCCACCGTCGCGTCGACCGAAATCACAAGGGGGACGCGCGTTCTTTCTAGTTCATAAGACTAATTGTAATTCGTAAAACGATTGTTTTTTTCAAATACTTTGAGCTCGATTATTTTTACGCTCCTTCCAGCCTCCCTTGAGACCTTCGACCCGTTCGCTATTGTTACACGCAACCGTCCCACCGCGCACCGCTGTTTCCGCGTAAATACAACTCCACGGATCCATAAAGATAACTTGGCACGATTTATCGTTCCCGACATGAAAACACAATTTTATCTCCTCGCGTTGGCCAGGCTGCTCGACGTCTGTCACGATATACAAACCCTTGGCACGCTGCTGACTGAGAAAATTAGCTGGAATTTATGCATCCCATTTGTAATGCTAATACGTGCAGCGCTGACTCGTTTTTAGAGAGTGAATCGGGCCTGCCGGATTTCGCAAACAGAGGCACCAAGAGAAAAAAAACACGGACAATTTGTTCAACTATCAACTACGAAATTACTCGTCGTTACTCGCACCTTTCCTTTCGTCCCGAATCTCGTTCCGAGCTGTAGGCAAGAGAACGCTCGCATCGCCAAGCAAACTTATATAACTGCGATCGAACGACTACTTCATTTTTTCGTATTCGAGATTTGCTGATATCTCGCTACTGTGCATCGACTGGAGCGAGCGGCCCAATCCATCCGACCCGGCTTTCAGTTTGTAACCCCGGTACTTATATATACTCTACTCCGATTGTAAAGGGTTTGTTGTTTTGTTCTTTCAGTGGTCCCCGAGTGAGCCTCCAGCCAACCGTCGTCGTCGAGCAACGTCCACCGACGTAAATCGAATCCAGACACGCGACAAAGATTCCGTGGCGAGTCTGGTCGGAGCGGCGCCGGCGTCGCGGGAAATCGCGCGCGACAGCATCCCAAGCTCGGTCTCGCGGCTAAGACGCAAGGATGTGATCGAGGATTACCGGTGGGCCGCGTTCCCCTCGGTAAGGGATGTTCTCCTCCGCGGGCACCAGCTGCACCGACGCCGAGGAGGACGCCGAGGATGTGGAGAACGACGTGGCAGGTATCGCGCAGCCGTCTAACTACTTGCCGTCGGGTACCCGTGACAAGGCGCGCGATCACCTGGAAGGACTGCGGTTAGATGGGTCATCGATCGCGCGTCCACCAGCCGACGACACATCCGCGAGCCCATCGACGTCGTGGTCGGTGCCCCGATAGATCAGGACCACCGTCCACCCGCGTATCGAGCTCGTGGTCCGATCGCGAATCGAACCAACCCTGGACCGGCTCTCTGTCTCGACCTGGAGCGCGTCGCAGCGAGTCGCAGCTGCGAGCTGGACGAGTTCGAACACCGTTGGTCCCGCGACCGACTCGACCTCGGGGAGCTGACGTCGTCGCGCTCAGCTGACGACAGACGCCTTCAACCCCGTCCCACTTTACGATTACGATCAGGGAGCCCCCCGTCGTTCCAGGGACCTATCTGTACTTATCTCGACCGGAAAGGAGCCGCGTCACGGTTCATCCAACGTTTCAAGAGGTACAGGCTGCAGGGTTCCAAGACGCTAGAGCGAACGGAGGAAATTGAAGAGTTTTCCTGACCGGAGAGGATTCCAGGACGGGCCACAGGGGACCTTGCCTCTTTTCGTCCGAAGAGTTGAAAAGTTTTCCCCCGATCGCAGAGGACTCGTTTCGTCTGTTGGTCGTCACGCGAGAGGATCATCTGGACAATCGGAGGACCGTGCCACGTTCGAACCGGTTCAACGCCGACGGGTGATTCGAACGCTTCGCGATGGTGATCAACCCTCGAGTGATGACATTCAGTTAGTGTAGTGTGCGTCGTTGTGTTTGTCGCGTGCAGCCCAAAGAGAGAGAGAGAGAGAGAGGAAGAGAGTGTGCGTCGATCGCGAGAGGAGCGGATTGACATGAGGCGTGGAAGACAGTCCGCGATCGTCGTAGCCAGAGGCTGGCAGAGGTCCTGATAGCCGCAGCGACCAGGATCCGGGATCATCCAAGGGAGAAAGGATGCCAGGGGGGCGCAGGGGCCTGGTCGCCCCGCAAAACACATTCCTGGAGAACATCATACGACGGAGCAGCAGTCAACGTGAGTTCGATGCTTTTATTGGTTTCCTTTTCCGATGAATCGATGATTGGCTCGTGGATACAATGCCGAGTCTCTCTGTGGAATCTCAGCCGCGGCCAGAGAGAGGGAGAGAGAGAGAGAGAGAGAGGGAATAGCGAGTATGCTTTTGTGGGAATTCATGGCATTTTATGCGCGTGCTCTTTCATGCTTAACCCTATTTCTCTCCACCTTTTTATTTCTCCCTTTCTCTCGCTCTCTCGCTCTCTTTGCGTTTCGCTTTCCTCCCCGCGAAAATAGGTCGAACTAATAACTTTACGTAACCGCGGTAAGCACGGAGAGATAAAAGTTGCTACGCGTAACAAGATTAACCGCGTTGACCGTGGATAGACTGTGCATTACAGTTAGCTTCGTTTCGGTTTTAATGCGTCAATGCCACGCGAAATTTGCGGGTTGGCTGATAGGCAAATGGTGCCTTATTTCCCGGTATCCCTAAACCCTTTTTTTCGAACTCTTCCTATCGAACACCCGGAATATAGATGTACCGGACCTTTGAATAACGCCAAATTGGACGAACGCTTGTACAAATTCTTTTCATACCTGTACCTAACCTAAAAGTTACGTCAACGTGTTACGATAGACCGTATACATCGGAGATGCAAGGTAGTCCCCGGAGTCGCGAACGTTCCGAAAGTCTGGCGGATAGGTCGGAAGTCGACGCGACGCGACGCGACGCGACGGCTACAGAGCTCGAGGGAATGTTCCGCAAGTTTCCAAAGATCCGAACCGTTTGCGTTGGAAGCCAAGTCGAGGAAAGCTGAATGGAATATCACGGAAGTCTCGAAACTCTGAAAACCATCTGACCCTTGCTACCGGTCCGCGGAAACTTGTTATACCTGCTATCTTAGGGATACGTCTTCGAATACAAAAATTACGACGCGTGCGCCAAGAAACAGTCTTTCGAATACTTTCGAACGCTTTCTTCCCAACAATTCTTTACGAGAGGAATCGTATGCGCTATCAGCCGCGATATGCGCTCGATGCAACGCGTTCTCCTGACTCGTAAATATCGAGCAACCGCATGCGCACCACCGAAGCGAATGATACTATTTCCGGGCGTTGTAAACGATTAACTGGTCCTGTGCTCGGATAATTCGATCCAGGTTCTAGAACGTGCACGCGCGTATTCCAGCGGATCTTGGGAGTCCGCGCGAGTTAATAGGTCAATGCCAGCGGCTATCATACTTGGTTTAACCCTTTCACGGCGGGCCTATTCATCGTCGATGACCTCTGACCGACGATAGGTCCGTACCAAACGAGTTTCTTTTTTCTGCCAACCAGCGGGATCAAGATTCGAGGATACTTGGCCCGAATTGCCTGTTGGGAATGGCTATATTCGAACACGTTAACGCTTTATTATTTATTATTATTTACTATTTACTTGCGTATCTGAAAATCTGTCTCGACTCTTCATTAGAATCTCCGTGTACCTAATTTTTCCCATTAAATCTCGCGTTACTTTCGACGTTTCACTCGAGTCTGCCCCCTTGAATAAAATTCCAAGAGCGAATAGCTCGATAGCTATGTTAAAAAGTGGTCGGCTATTAATATTCGGTGCTCGGTCGAGTCCGTTCCACGCGTCGATCGGAGAAGGAATACTCTACAGATTCCTCGAATACCGGAAAGTTTATCGGTCCGATAAGGCATTATGTAGCTCTATTGAAAATTTCCTGCGGCCTTTGCAAAGGAATGAAAGGACTGAATACGTGCGCATTCAACGTTGCGAAAGGTCACCACCGGTGGTGCATTTACATCGAACCGCGCGCAACTATCCAACTACCGAGTACATGGATGCGTGTTGCATCTACACGGGTGCTTGCCAAAACAGGTGGGCTTCGGTGTTGGAACACCGAATACGCACGTTTACGTTAGCACTGTCGTTAATACTACTACTACTCTTAATAGGACGTCAACGCGTTGATCGCCACGCGTCATTCATATACGTATGTGTACAAGAGACAGGACTCTTCGCTAAGGAATTCAATGAAATAATTGTAAAGATGAGATGTCAAAGAAAATAAATCTGGATAAGACGAAATCCGTACCAACTTGACCGTCAATGAAATTTTACTCGTCGTTATACTTTTACAATTATTATGCAATTATCGACAACACATGTAATAATCTCATCCACTTGCCAGATTGAAGAAAACGAAGAGCGAGTAGTAGAAATAGAAGCACGCCGAGTGAATCGCGTGCAAGGATTCATCATCGGAGGGTTCGATTAAAGCTGAGCGTTTGATAAAGCGAGTTTGTTCGCAGCCTATATTTAAATACACGAATTCTGTCTCTTATTAATCAGCGGTTGTAATTATAATTAAACCACGGGTTGCGATCAGCTGTCGTCGCGTGCCTCGAAACTTTTCCATCCGTTACGATCTTTCTTTTAGTCGCGTTTCATTTAAAAATAAAAGCACAAATATTTTTATTTCGCATTTGTCACTGAAGTTTTTTTTATATGCATACATGCATTTTTCTGATATATGCGTATAAATGAGAGTAATAAATATTTTTGTATTAACAGTTCGATTGAATTCGATATCGTTCTCGTTGGACGAGCAACGAACAGAGAGATTTGTTTATCGTTCGTTCGTTATACGAAAACATTATCCAAACGAGAGTTTACTCATCTCTCTGGGCTGCAGATTGCGCATGTCCGCCCTCGAACCAACGGATACACCGTTAAAAATTGTAAAACCACTTTTCCTCGGACGCGTTTATTGGAAAACGATGTTTCAAAGCCTGCGCGTTCGCGTATACGATTGGTGGATACCTAGCTGAAATCACAGGGAGAAAACACACGCACACGCACACAACGAACGATTTCTAGTTTTAGAAACGTAGGATTCCAAAGTCGAGCAAAACGAAAATATTTCTGAAAAAATACTTTCTCGATAGTTACGAATAAATGATTTTTCTTAGACGTATTCGAAACCGAAGGAAATTAGAGCGAGAGCTCCGGATTGAACAAACAGCTATAGCAACGAGAGTATGTTCTATTATATTTTATTTCTCGCGCGAAAGCTGATTCTACGGAGGAATGGCCGGATTCGCCATTGAAAGGCACAAAAATGGGAAAACCCAGGCGCGGCTTTTACGCGTGGAAAAATTCCAAATTTTCGTGGAAAAGATTGACCTGGATAAAATTGTTAGAAAAAGAAAGTAACTTTCCGCGACGCCTTTATCGGGTAATTAAGCATCAAAGCTTGCGCGTTAGCACGTTTTATCAGGAAATTTAAGCGACCTCAAGGAAAATAAAAGAGACCAACCCGAGCCTTTGTAAATAAGCGATGTAACGAGCGAGGAAAAATGTTTTTCTCGTTGCGCGTAGCAAAATATATTTCGAATAATATGTTCGCGAGTGTCCCTTGAAAAGGACAATGTAAATATTTTTCAAATAATTTAATTGCCGTCGTTGTTACTTTTGTTATTCCGTTTAATTGTAAAAGCGATCGTACCGTAATGAATCATCACATCGAACTCAATTTCGTATTACATAAAAGTCGGCGCGGCGGGGTGGAGCGGTTCGTTCGGTCAACATAAGTCAGCAGGAATCTGATTTTCACTGACTCTACGCATGGAACTTGATTTTATTAGATTTGCTTCTAATTTAATATAAGGCGTAAACAAGAATCTGGTTGCGTAAAAAAGAAATATTTTCTTTTCAATTTTTCAAGGACGTGTCGCACATCTCGTTTGCACGACATACGTTTCCGTCCGTAAGCGTTACAACTTACGTTATTTTATTTAAAAAATGGACGAAATTTCTTACCGGATCGGTTAAGCGCCGTTTGTAGTTTGTTATCGTTCGATTCGTTGGCGCTGCAGCTCGTTATGCGTTAATGGAGAGGAGGCAAGCAAGCAAACCAAACCATACGTTCCCAAATCGATGAATTGGGCGTGGTGACCCAATAAATTGACCATTCGGATCATCCAACTACGCGACACGCTTGTTTTCGTCATAGTTGGATAAAATTTACAACAGAAACGTGGGTAGCGTAATAAACATCAAAAATAACGTCTCGTATACGTTGAGACACGTCAACGGAGACGTTCGTATTCTAATCGCGCCAACGCGACGGAACGACGTCGATATTTAACGGAGACAAATTGCTTCGCAAATGAAACCTGTGCTTCGATAAAAAATCCCCGATGGATACGTGGAAACAGCGAAACGTAGAATCGGTTAACGTTGAGTCGCTAATTAATTAGCATATCTGTTTTAACAAGGCAACGATAATTGCTTCGTCCCGTGTTTTCGATATCACGATTGCGTATCGTTCGTATCGACAAAGGTTCGTCGCTGTTTCGAGATCTGATTTTTAACCTCGAAACGAACCGAAAGGAAGTTTGCGAATCACGCGTGGACAGACTGTCGCAATTCTTCATTGTTGCGAGTGAAAAGACGTACCGAAACGTCGACGAAGCGAATACTTTAAGGATGGAGTAAGGCACGAGTAAGATCTCGAGATTCCCGGGGGATTCGGAAAGAACAGAAAAAAAAAGAGAGAAAAAAAAACAGGACTCGAGGGGAAAAAGAGAATTTCCAAGTTAGCCCGAAGACCGTGGTACCTTAACCATGTTTAATTCTCATTGAAAATTAACGTCGTTCAGGCTGACAGGAAATTTCCTCTCAACGATCGAACCGGATCGTTCTTCGATGAAATATCCGGCCAATTAGCTGGTCCCGACTCGTTCTGTAATACTGATTTTCCTTCGATGTACCCAAGCCTGTTGTACGCATAGCAAAAGTGTTACGAAAATCAATTTTCAGCTTTTCCTTTTGTTAAATTCAATTCCCTTCAACAAACATTAACTAAACGCTATCGGGTTGATCCATAAATAACGTTTGTTAACTTACTATTCGTTTTCGAATATATCGTTACATAGTAGATCTTAAACAATTTAATAAGTATCGTCGGTGTCGTCGTCGTAAATTTCATTGGCATTGCTACTAAACAAAG